GTGTGTGTGTGTGTGTGTGTGTGTGTGTGTGTGTGTGTGCGCGCCTTACTTGCATAACTTGACACTGTACAAGGCTTCTGCTCCGTGAAGTCCCCAGGCAAGCCAAAACCTGATGATAAAGGAATGAAAACTTGTTTTAGCTGTAGAAGATAAGGACCACATTGTATCCATAAACCACTGTGTATAGCATGGAGAGATGTTGAAAAAGCAGAAACTATAACTTCTTGCTTTATTAACTAAAGAGAAAGGAGATTAATTCTAAGATTATTCAGGATAGGAAGCTTTATATGCAGCCTAAACTAGGGGCACTCAACCTACAGAACAAAGTGATCTGACCTGCAGGGTTCCCTATGGGTCTGGAAATCTGGTGGGAGAGCAGCAGCAATTAACACCGTCACAGCTCCCTTATTCCCAGATTTCCAAACCCAGCATGCCAGGATAGGGCCCAAGGACCAGTTCTCACCTGTGAACCAACCTGGTATCACTCATCTGGCCCGAGGGGCAAAAAGACTGGCACCACTGGTTTAAACAGAAACTACATGCATACAGGAAGTTAAGAAGCAACTGAAATTTTCACTGGTTTCAGCTGGCATTCACCTAAAAGTTCTCATGTGTTTTCTAAAATGGCAGATAGTGGTGCAAAAACCATGTACTTTAGCAACCTGACTGCCAACTAAGCCATACAAGTTAGCCTTGTACACTGAGCAAACTTCATAGATTTCATAGACATTAGGGATGGAAGGGACCTTTAGCCCTATACAGGCAACCCCTGCAGTTTCAGTTAGAGCTATTTCACTGTAGCGCTAATTTAAAATTCATACCTTATTCCACTGAGCACTTAGTCAGTTTCATTATAGCACTCAGTGGAACCAGCGAGTTTTGGCGGGCAGGCGGAGAGAAGCAGCAGCAGCAGTAAAAAGCAGCAAGTGGGTGGGTGTGAGCGTGGGGACTGTACTGGTGCCCCAGGGCGATGTGGTGCTGGAGCAGCCGGCAAGTGAGGGGGTGGGGAGAAGTGGCAGCAGCGGCGAGTGAGGGGCAAGAGTGAGGGCAGGGCCAGTGCCCAAGGCCAGCATGTGGTGCTGGAGTGGCTGATGGGCAGAAGCGGCTGTGGCAAGAAGTGGTGAGTGGCAGTGAGTGGGCAGGCAGCCAGGCTTGAGCAAGGGGCGGCCCTGAGTATGGGGCCCAGGGCCAGTGAGGGCGAGACAAATTATATTTATTTACATTAATTTCTATGGGAAATTGTGTTTTGCTTAGTGCGGTTCCGCTTAATGCTTCTTTTGTTTAGCAATTAAAGATGTCACCGCCCACCCCAGCCAAGGCTGTCAAAAACAGTGTTCAAATAGACATGTCAATACTTCTTAAAGCAGGGCTGGCCAACCTGCATGCTACAGGTGGCATGGACAGCCTGCTGTGTGTGTGGCATGTAGCTGATGGGGAGGTTGGGACATGCAGCACAGCAAAAGCTAAGGCAGGGAGCAGAAAGCAGAACAGCTGACTGGGCAGGGGAAGGGGAGCAGAGCAGCATTTAGAGGGTAGAGGCCTGAACTGTGTAGAGTAAGAAAAGGAAAGGAGAAAGGCCAAAAAGGTAGGCGTCCATTGTCTTAAAGGATTTAAAAAGTTCAGAGGGAAAAAAAAAATCCAACACTTACAAACTATCTTAAGTTATGATGTGTTCATAGATGTGCACCTGTGATGTTTGGATTTTTCTGTAGCCTAGGAGCACTCAGAGCATATTTTGTTCAACTAAACAATGTAGGCTTGCTTCAGTTAAGTGCTGTAGATGATAACACACCAATTACCTTCTGAAAGGGCTCCAAATTTTGGGGGGCCTTAGACTATGCTAATTTAATTTCACCGTGTACCAAGTCAGAATTTAGTGTTGATGCACACTGCCAGTTTCCATGATACAAGTGAATCTTGTGACCATATTACAGAGATTCCCTGAAACAAGTTTGTGTACTGAAGGAATGCCTCATGTGTACAGAAACCTAACTGCAAAAAGGTCTAAGTGTTTTATAACAAGGTGAAACTCTTAGTTACGCCTATGCTATAAACAGCAATTTGATTTTACAGCTGTTGAACACATTGTTTTTAGTGTAGACTAAGCCTTAGAGCAAGTGTAGTGCCAAGACACCCTTTTTATTTCTAAAGGGTTAAAAAGGGAAGTTAACATTTTCCTGAAGTATCTAGAGACCCACCTAGTGTTTCCAGGGTAATAAACTTTTAAGAGGTCCTGGAGAAATAAAATCTTTCCAAGTACTATAGTAGTGTTGGTGGTGGCAGCCCTTCAACATAACAAAAGGAATCATCATGAAGTTAGGCAATATGGAGTATTAAGAACCAACGTACTCTGAGAGCAGTAGGGAAAGGAGAAAAAAAAAAAAAAAAATCAGAGTAGCAACAAAATTTTAGCTTGCTGAAGATACCTTACCCATAATACAGCAAGTTGTGGTGATTGTCAACTAAATATTTAGTAAGATGGCCCAATGGTCCCAGGCTTTCATATGGTATTTTTGTAGGTGAAAAAACTGCACACTAAAAGAGAAACACAATTAAGTTACCCTCACTTTTAAAAAAGAAACTGTTTAACTCAGGACTTGAGATTTTGCTCCTCTTTATCCATCATTCCTGAAATGTTTGCTATTTAACTGAGCTAGAATCAACTATACAGGTTAAGTATTTAGCTTGCTTGTTGCTCCCTCATCCAAAATATCACCTCTTCATAAGGCTACTACCATTTTCATAGATTTCGTAGCCATTAGGGCTGGAAGGGACCTCGGAAGATCATTGAGTCCAGCCCCCTGCCCAAGGGGCAGGAAGTCAGCTGGGGTCACAGGATCCCAGCAAGACAGGCATCCAATTTTTTCTTGAAGGCGTTCAATGTAGGTGCTTGAACCACCGCCGATGGCAGGCTATTCCAGACCTTGGGGGCTCGGACAGTAAAGAAATCCTTCCTTATGTCCAGCCTGAAATGGTCTCGTAGTAGTTTATGACCCTTCGACCTCATCATCCCTTGGGGTGCTCTGGTGAACAAGTGTTCCCCCAGATACTGATGGTCACCCCTGATAAACTTATAGGTGGCCATTAGATCACCACTGAGGCTGCGCTTTTCCAGGCTAAAGAGCCCCATGGCTCTCAGCCTGTCGTCGTAAGGTCTGTTTTCCTGACCTCTAATCATGCGCGTGGCTCTTCTCTGGACTTTAAGAGGATAAAGTCAAGCTCTTGGCCTGCGAAACCCAACCTAAGAAAAATTTAAACTATGCATATTTTTGCTACATCAACCAGAAGTAAGGGCTAGTAAGTGTAAAGAGTGGTTGATGCATCAAACAAGCACCTTTACTTTTGTAAGTGGCATTTTTAAAGACAAGAAACATGCATGATTGATGGGTAAGATAATGTGGTCTCTGAAGATCTCAGTTTAACTTAAGTAATCCTAGAAGAAAGAAGGAACAGCACAGATGGCACTGTGCAAGCTGCAGCTTCATGTGTATGCTGCAGTGTGCATGTATTTTTAAGGACACATCTTAAAGTGGAATTGGAGTCATGGAGGATGCGACAGAAGGGCATTGAGAGTGCTGATCTGTAGAAGATGCTTAAACAAGAAAATGGTTACATTGGGGAAATCTGTTAAAGAATATGTTGAAACTTCTCTCATCTGTTTATCTGTGACAATTCTGCATGTTAGTTGTGAGATCTGGTTTCAAAGATGACTTCACGCCTGCACCTTTTGATGAATTGGCAGATTCTTTCACAATAGGTGCCTATTTTAATTAAACAATGGTGATGGGAGTTCACTTCATACAACTAATTTAAGTCATGTGGCAACTTCTGGGGCCTGGCTTTGCTAATACACCCTTCTGCCTCTACTTCCCCAATGTGGAAACTTTTAAGGTAAGAAAATCATACCTGGCTGTTTGCAAATTCAAATACTGGATGACATATAATTACAGAAAAGTAGGACTGGAAGGGACCTCAGGAGGCCGTATAGTCCAACCCCCTGCTCAAGACAGGCCCACCCACTCTAGATGGGTGTCCATCTAACCTGGTCTCAACCTGCCAAGGATGGAGCTTACCTAGAGAGATTGTATAACCTGCTCCAAGGCTCAATGCCCCACCTAGTGAGAAAGTTCTTCCTAACAGCCACGCTGCATTCCCTTTGCTGCAATTTAAGACCATTACTCCCTCTGCTGTCCCCAGCAGCTACAGAGAACAGGCTATTATTGCTCTGCAGGTCTACTCTTCAAGTACTTCAAAGCTGTCACCACATCCCTTCCCACTCTTCTCTACTCAGACTAAATATCCCTGGCTCTTTCAGCTTTCTCTCCTACATCATGTGTCCCGGACCTCTGCTGCCTTTGGCGGCCCTCTCTCTCAGCTGGCTGCAGCGCCCCTTTTTAGCTTTTCTCCATTTGCAGACCCCTTAAGAAATACAGAATACGGAGGTGCGGACCCGTCCGAATGGGCAGCAGGGTGTGCACCTACTTCTGCTTGTCAGAGTCATCTCCCGCCAACCGCGGAGCACGCCGAGGCCCCGCCGGCACGGCACGGCACGGCCTCCCTCCCCGCCAGGTCCTGCAGGCAGCCACGGTCCCGGCTCTCCTCTGCGCCAGGCCCGTGCCCGGCTCCTGCTCGCCCAGCGCCCATCCTAGCCCGGAAGCTGCCGCCGCCGCCGCTTACTGCCAAGTAGCCGAAGGAGACTACGACGAGGGCCATGGGCAGGCCGCTCGTGCGCTGGAAGTAGCGGCTCGAGCCCTCCGCGCGCTCGCCCCTGCCTGCCATCGTGCCGCGTCTCTGTCCCGGTGCCAGTGCCAGAGCGGTGGCGGCCCGGGCTGTACTATGTTCTCGCGGGGGGGGTGGCGAGAACGGCAGCCGGGAGCAGTCGTAGCCCCACCCTCGTCCCGGGTGTGGGGCGGAGCAGAGCTTGCTCGCCCGCCCGGAGCCCTTGGATTTGTAGCACAAGCCCGGGGCGGGCAGCGCAGCCTGCACTCTGACAAGCGCCGGGACCCCCGCAGCGCAGTGCCTTATTGTCCCGGAGCGCGGAGAGCAGAGCGCGCTGCAGGGGCGGCCTCCTCCCCAGCGCGCTGAGAAGCGCGGGCACCTGCGCCCCTTCCCCGCCAGCGGAAGGGCGTTTGTGCGAGCTGGAGGCTGCAGCTGGCCTAAGCAACCCTGCACCTGGGCCGCCACAGCTGAGACAACACTGTCGCCCTATTATAAATGTGTTCAGGCAGGAAGGCTTATGGAGAAGGGGTCTCGTAGGTGACTTGCATCGTGCTCTTCCCTCAACACAGACAGCCCTCCCCGGATGCTGGGTGATCTGCCCTCCTGTATGGGAAGAAAAACCTATAGCATCCTTACAGGCTCAGTAGTGCTATGCTGGCTAGCACTATAGAAGAAAGAGACTTGGGGGTTATCATTGACCACAAGATGAACATGAGCCTGCAATGCAATGCTGCTGCTAGTAAAGCGACCAAAATGCTGGCTTGCATCCGTAGATGCTTCTCAAGCAAATTCCAGGATGTCATTCTCCCCTTGTACTAGGCTTTGATGAGGCCACAGCTGGAGTACTGCGTCCAGTTTTGGGCCCCACAATTCAAAAAAGATGTGGAGAAGCTTGAGAAGAGCCACGTGCATGATCAGAGGTCAGGAAAACAGACCTTACGACAACAGGCTGAGAGTCATGGGGCTCTTCAGCTTGGAAAAGCGCAGGCTCAGGGGTGATCTGACGGCCACCTATAAGTTTATCGGGGTGACCACCAGGATCTGGGGGAACGTTTATTCACCAGAGCGCCCTAAGAGATGACGAAGTTGAACAGTTACAAACTACTACAAGACCATTTCAGGCTGGACATAAGGAAGAATTTCTTTACTGTCCGAGCCCCCAAGGTCTGTAACAGCCTGCCATCGGAGGTGGTTCAAGCACCTACTCTGAACACCTTCAAAAGTAAATTGGATGCTTATCTTGCTGGGATCCTATGACCCCAGCTGACTTCCTGCCCCTTGGGCAGGGGGCTGGACTCGATGATCTTCCGAGGTCCCTTCCAGCCCTAATGTCTATGAAATCTATGAAATCCTGCTGGTCATTACATTTATGTTTTATTACACCATGAGATATCACCCACAAAGTCTCTCCCATTTGCTATCTAGCCTGTGATAGGTTTTATTATAATCCGCTGTGTCTTGTCTAATATTTTTAAGTGATGCAATTTCTGTGCATCATGTAATTTCTGTGCACCTGTGATTTCTGTTGCTTCATGTAAAAGACATAGTACTGCCTAATACAATCTTTGTGCCAGGCAGTTTTTTGTATATATACAGCAGATTTTTTTTTTTCTTTCTTCATTTTACCTCATCACTCCCAGGTATGCCTTTTTGTATTACTGTACTCTAACACCTTACTTCTGTGTCCTGGGCTGACCTTCATCCACACTAAAGGATATTTCTGCATTTTCTATGACTACCTCCACCTGCCATCCACACTGCACACATATTTGGGAGTGCAGGTTGGAAAGCGCTAGTAATAGTTAGAAGTAGCAGTTGTAATAACCTGATGTTTTGCCTTTTGATAAGAAATATTGGAACATTGTGTAATCAGCTATGTAGTGATAAAAGTTATAATTCAGAGATGGTTCCTAATTTAGAAGCGTGGGGAACTGGGTGATGGTCCCTCAGTTGGGGAGGAGCTGGTAATTAGGGAGGCTGCAGAAGCTTGTTAACTGCTCCACAATAAACCTTGCTGTTTAGCTCTCATTCATGCCTGATTCATTGAACCTAACCATCACTACTAGCTGGACTCCTACTGAAATGTTAAGTGTGCTTTTGTTAACCCAGTATGATAAAAGGGGATATACATGTCATGTTTTAGTTGTGGTAAAGATAAAAGTAAAGTTTAGAGTGGTTTGGGAAGGTGTCAGAACCAAGAACAAAAGGGTTCATGGACTGTTTCCCTTACCAGGCCTGCTAGTCTGGTAAAATAGCTTACTTTACTTAGCATGTTCTACAGCCTGATTTATTGCTAAATTGTTATTATTGGGGTATTCTAATAAATAGTGAAGTTCACTTGGTTCTCTCTCTCTCTCTCTCTCTCTCTGCTGCACTGTTGACTGACCTTTATGGGGGAGGGGAAGGGATTCTAACACAGACTGGGGACAAACTAATCATTCCCCTCTGGTACTGGCGAGATTCTAAAGAAAAGCTAATGCAGCCCACACTAAGGCAATTTGTATACCTCACAGCCCAATACATGTAAAGAAAAGCTACTGAGATTTTCTTCCGCATAGCTTGCTTTTTTCCACTCAAAGGGAGAATCTGGGCCTGTATGACATTTAAATACATGGTCTATGAGCATGTTTTCCTCTCCACCTTTACCCACTTCTAGACTAAATATAAGTAGAACCACAATCTTATGAACCTCTAATTATACAAAACTCATTAATATCTAGGTTCTAAAAATTGATAAAATTCATTAATTTGACTCTCTGGTTTTATATATATTTTCAGAAGTCCTCAATGTTAGGATCATCATTAGAGCCTTTAGTTTTGCTTCAGGGATAAAGCCACTCACTTGGTCCTTCTATCATTTCTATTCTCCTGTCCAAATTGCTTCTAGTTTGAATCCTAGAAATGGAGGACTGGAAGGAACCTCAAGAGGCTGAGTCTATCCCCATTCTTATAAACAGGTATGTCTAGACCATGGGTGTCAAACTCACGGGGCTTCTTGCAGGTTGGATCCAAACCCTGGGACTCTTCCATGGTCTGTGTCTTCCTACCACCTTTGCAATTAGCTTGCAACCAGACTGGCAGCATGGAATCATGCTGTCTACTCAAATTGACTCGAGGGCAGTAGTATGCACAGGGTGCATAGGTCATTGCTGATGTGTATTGTGGGACAAAGAAGTCTTGCTGTCCAAGGGAAATTGGAAGCATCAGTTTGGGGAAAGAAAGTAATGCCTTCCACCTCACAGTTCTTCTTGGAGCACTCCTTGTTGCTGCTTGAACTTTTCTCCAAAAGATAGGTGGTAGGCCAGTTTTCAAGGGCCAAAAAAACCTACTAGGCAGATAGATAACCAATGTGAGTTAACCTGCTGTAAAGCCATAATGGAGAAAAAGTTCAGTAACATTTACTGCAATGGGCTGAGCTAAGTAATGTAGTAAGAGTGGAGACCTTGCTCAGCCAAACTGCAATAAAGCACCAGTTCTCAGTCTTCAAAAGATGACCCCATTGCCATGTTTTCAGTTGGCTCACTGCCCTGCTTGCAGTGTGGGTCCAACGACTATAAATTAATTTGTAGGGTTTGTGACCCCCTCATCTGTGCTACCTTATTTGGGTTGTGACCCTTAGCTTGGGAATTTCTGCAATAAAGTCTTTCTGCACTTTTGTCTTCACTAGGTTCTAGTCTGCAGCATAAAATTCTGCTGGCATGGCTGTGTAGGCTAGGAATGAGAAGAAAAACCTTGGTGTAGACACAGCTATGTGGACAGTGCTTTTTGGGGCTCACTATGCTGACCTGACTCTTTTGGATAGGAGGGGATATAAATAAATAAAAATGTTTTTCAGGAAGATGGTATAGATAGGATGGCAGAAAATCCTCCTGTTAAATAGTCTGTCTCCACTGGGGGGCTCTGGAGATAGAGGTCGGCTGGCACAAATTTTGTAATGCATGTAGGATTGTAAAGCAAATATAACAGTGATCTTACTGGTAAAGCAGGCCTTTTGGGCATTTGAAATAAAGTCTGAAGGTGTGGAGTTTCCTTCCTAAGCTTCAGGCATCTGGTTTGGTCTGTTTGCTTTGCTTCCTGTAAGGGTAGAAGCAAGCTGTTGCTCAAAAGCTTATGCATCTCTGACTCAATGAGTCTGTAAAGTGCACCTCTACCCTGCCCATTGCATGGCTTCAGACAGTAGTCTTTTCTCTAAAAGGGTATTTATCTTGATAGAGAGATGGGATCCTGGAGCCTGCCAGCATCACTGACATAATTCTAGTTTATTTCCATGGGCTGTGTGCATCTGCAAGACTAAAACAGCTCAGATGTGGGAGACATGTTTATACCCAGCCTGAGGTTTAATGTACAGCAGGGGTGGCCAATCTGCAGCACATGTACCACAAGTTGCACAGTCAGCCTGTGTGTAGCATGTGAGATTGGGGAGGTGACAGGCAGCACAGTGGCAGAATGGGCATGGGATAGAAAGCAGAGCAGCAGCTTGGTCAAGGAGCATGGGGCAAGGAACTGAAAGCTGAGCAGAGGATCAGGTAAGGGAAAGGTATCAGAGTAGCACTAGGGGAAGGTGTGGGGCTAAACTGTGGCATGCCTGCCAAAAAGGTTGGCTTCCACTCATGTACACTCCATAGTTTTTACTTGCATAGCCAGGAGTGTGAAAATATCACTTGCCCCAATTGGTGGAACTGTGCCTGAGAACTATGTTCTCAGTGGTGGCAGATGACAGAACAAAGAGTAATGGTCTCAAGTTGCAGCAAGAGAAGTTTAATTTGGATATTAGGAAAAACCTTCTCACTAGGAGGGTGGTAAAGCACTGGACAAGATTGCCTAGAGAAGTGGTGGAATCTCCATCTTTGGAGGTTAAGACCTGGAATGACAAAGCCCTGGCTGGGATGATCTTAGTTGGGGATGGTCCTGCTCTGAGCAGGGGGGTTGGACTAGATGACCTCCTGAAATCCCTTCCAACGTTAATTTTCTATGATGCTATGATTTCTATGCCTCTCCTCAACAGCATCCCTGCCCTCATCTGGATGCAGCCATTCCGTCCAACAAAAGAGATTCTGCCAGCAAAGCCTGTTCATCTGGGGTGGTGGTGTAG